CTGTATTGCACCGGTATTGAATTGCAAAACCCAAATTATATTGCAACTATTTAGGACAGTGGGGCGTCAAATATAAAAAACAAAAAAGAAAATAACGTACCAGTTGTTTTTTATACTATACGATTTTCTGAAATTATATTAATGTAATATAATAAATGAAATAAATAGTTTACCTGATTACAAGATTAATACAACATTAATCTTAGTAAAAATGCGTTATTTAAATAAAATTGGTGTACGTATGTGGTAACATGTCGTGCTATATAAAAAATAGGTTTTGTCGAAACTTTATGGTCAAAGTATTTCACTTTATTTAGATATTAAATAAAACATAAGGATGGAAAGGGATGGAATAATGGGATCTAACAGCTTCATTGCTAGCAATATAGGGTATACCTGTTTCAAGTTTTAAGTTCCCTCTGGAAACCATCGTGGTTACTTGTCACCAAATTCTTCACGATAGAAGAGCTGCCTTTATCCTCACCTATTTATTTATCACGGCTGCCCTTCCAGTGCATACTAATAGCGCGAGCAGGGTTATCATTTTGTTTTTACCCATTAAAACAAACTCAGAAAAATAAGAAAATTAAAATAAAACCACGAAATATTTACTACCTTTTTATTGAATTATTTCTAAGTTACAATACCGTATTTTAAGCAGTTCTTAGTATTATTGCTGTTCATTGAATTTTCAGTTGCGTGACCTTATCCTAAGTGCTATTTCCCTATTATTGAGTGCCAGTAGGAATTCACACAATTCATACACTATTTATGAATAGAAATTAAACACTAATTTCTATGTACTTTACGGAATTTGTAGAGAAAAAATAGTTGTATATATAATTAAAAGTTTAAAATTATTGTTAATAGTAAAATTCAACAACAAATTAAGTTTTACCTGTAAAATATATAAATGTATTATATAACATATTTGTCGCATTTTGAATCGATTTATTTCTCTCATAATCTCAACATGATCTATTAAAGACAGTTGTGATTGTGAATAAGATATGACAATGGATTATAAAGTCTCTTTGGAATAATTTTTAAAATGAATAATCGAATCACACAAGGCCTTTCAGGAACTGTTCCTTGTTCACACAATTTTGATTCTGATGAAAAATGCAACAAATATAAAAAAAATATATAAAATAAAAAAGTATAAAACAATGTAAGAGAATGAATATCATTCATTAACATTAGTGGGCAGTTTTATAGGTACCTATATAAGATATGTACGTGTGATTAACAGTATATATAGGTATGTATGCTTATTTGTATTTGTACAATTAACCGAGAATATAAATCAATGTAAGCCCATTTAGCTACTAAAATGTTTTATTCTGTTTTTTTTTTTAACAACACGAATACCTTTATAAATTGTTTTTAAATACTAAACAGGAATTATATTTTTGTTTCACATCCTCATTTTATATAGATACCTATTTATGTGCCTATCTGCCTATATAAATATTAGAATGCTACAAATTTTATAAAACTAATAAAAGATAAAATTATTAAAAAGACACATAAATAATCGAAATTATGATGCATTAATATATCATAATTTAGATCATTTATACATACATAACTAATTAACAGTTTACTTAATTGACAGTTTAGCCATAATTACAGTGTTAAAATCAACTGTTGTATAACTAAGTATAAGTTAGGTATCTATGTATATCACAAAGGCTCACCGTTTCGTGAGCGGGGGCGATTGACGTAACGTTATAAAATAAATGCAAGACACTTCATCGCATCTCTAATATAAATGCACTTAAAGAGAAACGTTTATAATTATTAATACAATCGTTTTCTTGTTAGACCACTTTGATAATTTGTCGACCTAAGTTTTAGCATATTTTGCTTAAGCTTGAATACAGTTTCAATCCTAAACAGCCCTTTCATTCATTTCTAAGTACGTAAAGAATGGGATAATTGTGTTGTATAAAATATTGTGCAAAATAATTTGTACAATATTTTGGACATATTAAAAAAAAATATCATGAAATTAAAGGTACATTTGCTTACAGCGAAATGAACATATTTTGTTATCATGAATTTTATTTCATATCTGATATTAATGTATATTTCACCGTAACCACATTTTGATGTTACATGATATTCAAGAAATACTGAAATAAAATAATACATTCATTATCAATTGTATAATGTTTAAAAATTATGATAAAGTTAACCTGGTGAATAGTATCTACTTGATCCCGGTGATCTATGGCATATACAGTTTTCAATACAATATGATTTTTGCACTTCAATATAGTAAAATAACATAATTCTAAATTAAGAACAAACATAATAGAAGATATAATTACGTTATGACATGTTTATTACTAAAAACATTAATGTTTTTCAGTATTGAATTTTGTTTATCTTTACTTTTTTTATTTTTTCTTGTGTATTTATAATATTTGTCTATATAATTTTGAATAATAATGTAATAAATATGATATTGTCCATAAAAACTACTATTAAAATCTAATAATTTCTGCTACAATCGTGTTATAAAAAACTACAGATAAATAAAAACGGAATAAATCTTCATTATTAAGGACGTTGTGTCCATACATAGTATTTTTGTGAATCATATAATTATAATATCTTAAATGGTGACTTACGTATTATATTATTTCCCATATCGTTGTTGATTAAATTCGCCGTAATATAGGGGTACAATTTTATTAAAATTATATGTTTCAACTACAAAATATTAGAATTATTTATTTTAAATTATACATTTCGTTGTTCGATAAATTCAAATAAGTAAACGTACATTTTATTTATCGTTATAAAGTAGATACATTAGTGTAATGTGTACATTTATGTTAAGTATTATAGAAAAGAAATAGGTGTATATGTTAGTTACAAATATTAACCTGTTCTGATGACGTGTTTTTTTACCACTACCCACTACCTACCTACGGTGGCAAACAACCATAATCTACTAATAGTATTAAGTTATTTGTGCTACTACGGCTACAACACCAAGGGCATATAATTTACGCGTGCCGATTGTGAAAATTATAACCGGTCTTTATATTTAATAAAACGAAAAATAATGTAAATATGTCAGTAGCAAAAAATTTATAAAATTTTTATTAAAATACCAAGAAGTCAATAAAAATGGGCTAATAACAATATATGATTACTTATATCATTCCATTTTAATTTAAACCGACTTCAGAGTGGAGAAGGTTATGCATGTATGCATAGGTATATTCGACATGCGTACAATTAAATTCATTAAAACGCTAAGTTAAAACATTTGCTTTCCGGGCTATTACGTATCAATTTAATAAAACTGAAGTTTGTTTTATAGTGAAATACAATAAAGAATTTTTATCATTATCTCTTAAAGATTATTTGGAAATTATCTAAAAAAATTTTAAAAGTAGTCTATATTTCTTACCACTTTCCATCAGGTGGGCCGTCAGCTTGTTTGCCATTCTAAGTTGTATAAAAAAAAGATCATTTCCAGATGGCATGTCAAAATAAAACATACACCAGTTTTAATGTTAGAACAGAAATACAACTTTGAATCACATCCAATTTGATGTAGTAGTTTTTATGTAATGCCAGACCAAACATACAGACAAACAAAAATTCTAAAAACCATTGCTTAAGCTTCTAAGCTCCTGTCAAAACCCTTCGTATATATTTTTGTTAATCTCCCATGACAGACATCGTCTAGTTAGTTAGTAGGTAGATAAAATAACATAACATCTTTAGCGCTCAGTAAGTATTGAAACGAACAGAAGAAACCTCAACAATAAAAAGATTTCTTGCTTGTGATACAAATATATAATATAGATAACAATATAAACTTTTACAAGAGCTCCACTATACATATTTAATCAACTGTGGAATACAAAACAACTAACAAAGGAGCATCCCTATCAATTCTATTCACCTAGATATTCCAGTCAGTATCCAGTAACTCGAATTCCCTGGAAACTGTAACCATTTTATATATAAACGTACTAATAGTATACATCAATGCATGTTCTGCGATGTAGGTATTCAGTTTCTAAACAAACCTGAGGATTATATCTAAAATATAAAGTTTGTTATGTAAATTCAATAGTTAAAACAAACTTAGTTTAACTGCATATTAGAACAATGTCTTGACTAGATAATAATTTTGTCTGGAATAGGCACGAACTTTATTTTAACGAGCCCTACGCCACTAGGAGCGCGGTGCTAGGAATGATTTATCCAAAAATTACATTCATATTTCGTTTAAAGGGTCAAAAATATATTTGTTATATCAAATTGCGAATTTTGAAGAAACTCGTTCAGTTTCCTGAACATTATCGCAAATTTTTAGTTCCAAAATATCTAGTACTGTCAATAATTTAAATGTTAAATAAAACCTGTCATGTGACCTAGACATAGAATGGACCACCCTTTCTTCTCCGTGGGTGTTATAAGAAGCGACAAAGGGGACTTAATGGTCGACGGATGGATAGCAGCTTCCCTCTTAAAACATCACCAAAAGCCAAACTGTAGTTGCCAATCCGCCTGCGAAGCATGGCAACTACTGGCAAAATTCCCCTAAGAGTAAACCGCCATAAAGAACACTCCCGTTCCAAATGGAAATCAATGAGTGAAGCCTATGTTTAGCAGTGGACAGATGCCAGAGATGGCGAAAATGATGATTAAATAAAACATATATAATAAACAATATAATAGACAATTTAAAAGTACAATAATACTTTAACGATCCATCATTATTGTATCTAACAACCATCAAATGATAGTTTCATTTATTGCAGCGATAGATGTATGAAATTCTGCTTTTCTTTTTTCTGGAGGACTGAGAGTTTCATCAAATTATTTCTTAGAAGAGGAGGTTCTTAATTTGACTATATTTTCTATATATATATATATATATATATATATATATATATATATATATATATATATATATATATATATATATATATATATATATATATTATACAATATTTTTTTCCAATTTGGAACTTTGAACAATTATTTTTACAGTCGATAGGATTCACATTTGTTGTTCTTGTAATAACGCGGGCGATTAAAATAACTATATTTAGAGAGCATTATTTTAAATTTATTTACCTTGATAAATTATAAATAAATGATCAAATTGCTAAATTGTCAAAACAAATTAAATATTAGATATATATTTGATTTTACATTAGGTACTTTAATATATAGGAAGCATCACAATATTCGGGGATGCTTCTTGAAGTATACCTTAGTCCAATATCGGAACATAAGACACTAACCTTAGAAATCGAATATGTTTCCTGTTCCCAATAACATGACATCCGATCTTACGGTATTCCGTTCATATAAATCTAAAATGGAATCGTAAATCTGGGCCTTATTCCGAACAGGTAAAGTACAGTAAATATTCATAGGCGAAGTTGTTTAGCGCCTACGCCCGCGAAATGTAATAAAGGCTACCTCTGTCAGCTTAAACATCACTTATGTTAACTTTTACCTGTTGAAAGAATGCAAAAGTTTCTTGAGGATATCAAAATATTTAAATGCGAATGGTTAAAATATACTTCTAGTACAATAATGAAATGATACAATGGTGAATATAATTTGCCAATAGTTTCAATATAATTTAAAACATGTTATTTTCTTTATAAATTTCATGATCAGTTAGGACATCCTTATACTTAGACAAGGATAATACCGGTACCATACCGATATATAGGTATATAGGTATTTATTCTCTTGATATTGGTAACAAAGAAAAAGCCATCACACATCGCCCATACAGGATATAATATTCATTTCAATAGAATTATGTATCTGTTATTGGACAAATATATAAATATTGTAATTAAAATCAATAGATATTACTAAAAACTACTCACTTACGACAATTATATCGACTATGCCCAAATTATAAATTGAAAAGCTTTTTTGCAAATTTTTTTATTGTTTTATGATGATATATTTATTTTATACTAACATAAATTTAAATTAAATCATATACAAAAATCTTACATTTATATTTTGGTAGTACATTCCCGTGTACTACATACTAACTATATGACACTTGTGAATTCACGAAAGTAAACAAATTTATAATTAACGTCCGTTTCAATAGAATTTATTGAAAATGAGAGCAAATGAATAATTGAACTGGTCAAAAGAAAGTCTATTGACAATTGTAATACAAAATAAATAAAAAACGATTGATAGATTAAATGTTACAATTTGTTATTAATTTCATTTTAAGAGTGTTTCTGTAATAATTTCAACTAAACTTCATCATCTTTTCATTAAATTCTTGTGAAATAAACTGAAATAAGCCTAGTAATATAACTTAAAAAAATAACATAATAATAGATATATACATAATAAAATTAAAACAAAAACGATATATATTAATAAATAATCAAGGCAAACAGCTCAGCTTACAAATTTACTTTATAATTCAATTTGCAACGGAAATGAAATTAAGAAATTCCGTACCGTAATTATAAAATTGCAAACTCAACCATTATATGATCGTTCATTGTCCTTTGAGAAACACGATACAGATACCGGTAAATGATTTCAAAAACCGATGTTGTTCATGGCAGTAACGAAAACATAACAACTAGGGAATTTCAACATACTCGTAATGAAGCTACTTGATACAAAGAAAACAGTCGTTCACGCTACACTATTATATATTCAATCAGTAAGTAATACTTGGCAGATATTGTATTAATAAACTACGCCATGAAAACTACATGGTGCCAAATTTCATGGGAATCAATCAAAATTTCGAACTTTTTAGTCATGAACATACATATATACGAATTCACTTTACCTATTATTTAGGATTTATAAATCGAAATTACTAGCATCATTTTAAGGGTACTTTGTCCCTCTGACGTTCCCTTAAATAAGAGTTGAAAAACGAGAAAAATATTGTGTAATATATTTTAACGAACGTAAACAAATTAGATTAAGTATTTATATCTTGCATTTAAATAAAAAAAAAATAAAGGTAATTTAAAGGCACAGACCGTAACTATGTTATCCTCCATCTATAGTACAAGCATATTCATCTGAGGTGTGAAGCATCATTGCTTTTAAATTTAAAGACACATTAAAATTAGGTAATTAATTGAAATTAGATAAAACCATAGACAAAAAGAGAATTACATAGAATAATGCAATTTATGTTGAAATTAGCTTTTAAATAATGTTATATTTGAGTACAAACACGGAAATTGTATTAAATTTTACGTAACCTGATATTGATGATAATGTCACTTTGTACAATTGTGAAATTAAATTTCATTGGAACATTATCATTTGTTAAAATAACAAATAGATGAACAAACTTAGGTACGTTGACTTTCTAATTGCCTAAATAGAGAAAAAATTTTGAATTTATGTTTTTTTTATCGGTGGAATTAGTTCGAATGTTTGGTCAATTTTGAAGACGGTTTTCTTCTGTAAGATGGATCATTTTAAAATATAACCTATGCTATATGTTCTTAGCCCGAAATAAACATAACTCACTTAACAATGCATACATACCGTCTAGGAATATGAAATTTTGACATAGGAGTTCCTTATATAAATGAGCATTAAGAAATGACTTCAAAATTCACTTCCTACTTTAAAAATAGGATGTGAATTTGTATAAAATTTTATCGTAAATAACATAAGTGAAAAAATATTAATCTTATTTTGTATCTAATAATATATTGCATGAAATACGTTATATATACACATTAATATCTAATTAATTTGGTAATAAACCTGTTTAAATAAATTAACATTATGTTAAACGAAAAAAAAATACTCCTGAAGGTATATCGTTCCAGATAAAAAAAAAACCAATACGGTTTACAACTGTAAATGTTATGAGGTAATAACATAAAAAATACAAACGAATTAAGAACCTCCTCCTCTTTTGAAATTTAATGAAAAATAATACAGATTATGAATAGAGGCATAAACATTTTGCCCCAATTCCTACGTCAGTTCACAAAGCGGGAAGCGGTTATTCGGAATTTCAACGCCTGTTGCATGTCGGAATACCTATCCACTGCGACGGTGAAATAAACGACTAAAATATACTCTATATAACTTTGTATAGTACATAGTCGACTTCAATAGAATTTAATCGAAATGAAAACAAACAAACGAATAATTGATTCGACCATAGAGAGTCTGCTGATGTTCAATAGCAATACAAATCGAAATTCCGTTGAATGTTCCGTGTTGTTACTAATTTTCCGATTCAACAAAATTTAATTATCTTTTCGTCAAATTCTATTAAAAATGATACTAGCTGTGCCCACAGCTTCGTCCGTGTATATATTATAATGTGTGTTATATTCCAAGCTAAAATAGTAGCACATAAATAAATTGAGGTAATAACGCACATAGCCATTGGTGCTGAACGTAGTTCTGAAAGTAATTTTGCGAAATTGTTTACACACGTAGAATATAATATGAAATATTGATAATATCGAGGTAACAAGAGTTCTCGATACCAATTACGTTTTTTGGAAGACTTGAGTTGTTGAATCGAGACGATTCCGAATGCCCGATTTCGTGGTAGCTGTCTATTATAACATCAAAACCGCGCTCCTCTTATCAGTCTTATTCTGAACAGATTCTTTCAATTGACTAAACAAAGGGGTTAATACACTATCATATAATATACCTATATCTACATATATTGTTGATTTTATTACTTTTTTCACTATTTCAATTTTATATTCCTTTTTATATTAATACCCGCCCACTATGTACTTTTTATTATAACACATTTGTGATTTGTTAATCTTTGTCGGGTGCCCACGATACAGGTTCACCTAGTGTGGGACCCATTGTATCTTGTTTTTGTAACTTTGTATTTTGTATCAAATAAAAAATAAATAAAAAAAAATACCTAAAGGGAGAGAGGGATTATTAGTAATGGGACATAACAAGCCCATTGCTGGCCAATCCGCCCTGTCAGGTTTCATAGCAGTATAGGTATCACTGAGAGATAATATAGGTCCCTCGACCTCACTGGCACCTCGCCAGCGAAAACCGATAGCGCAGACGGGGTTACTATTCCATTTTTGCCCATTATAAAACAAATAGACCTGTAAGAGCACATTTAAAAATTAGTATTTACGTGCTGTGAATATTAATAAAGTTTTACCATATGTTGTATACTTTAAACTGTTAAACAAGTGAAACTACTTCAGTCTAAAATTTATGTCTCATAAATAAATATACGATGATATATATATATATATATACGATCGTGTAATAACCCGTAAATTTGCGAAGGTACTCGAATAAGTATTATATAGGTTAGTAGATACTTTATTGAAAATTAATAGATTTTTAAGAAATACGTTCAGATTAATGCTGAAAGAACAAGAGTAACACTTATATATATATAAATTTATAGGAATTTAAGATCCTCTACTTGGGAATTGACGAAATTATCAAAATTGACATTAATTATCAAGGTGAGTTTAAAGCGTGCGAATCTATGATTTCATACTAATAATATATACGCTCTAATGCATAAGTTTATATTTCTAATAAAAAAAAAACTACACTACCTTGTACAATTGCATGTAAAATGTATTGTTTTATTATTATTTTTTAATACGATTTTTTTTTTATTCTTGATGGAGACAAAAATAGAATCTGCCAAAATCAAATCAATCAAAAATGTAAAAGGGAATTAGGTATTAAGATATTAAGATTTTGGTGACTGTACCGTTTAGGCCTAAATAAGCTAAATCACTGAAATCTACACTAACCTATGCATATTGAGCAAAGTAACGCACGTATCATTCTTTTTTTTTCTACTTACAATTAAATAGAATTACACATAATTGATCTGAAATATTACATTAAACTGCATAACTTGAATAAATTTTTCAGAAAAAGGTTTTCGTTGAATCCTCGTACTTTCATGTGTTACTTTTATTGAATTTCATATAATTTACCATGGATTATATAAGGCGGAAAATGTTTAAATAGAGAGAGATAGATGTGAATTTTTATAATTATATAATTACCGCTCCTAAATAGTAAGTATTATTAAATATATTTAATTTATACACAACCAAGAAAAAACTTCGATATACGTATTTTAGTGAAATTATAATAGTTATCGCATACAGTCAGTGACAAACTAATATACTGTTTTGAGATCAAAAGAAATGTGTTAGTAATTTAATGTTATATACATATACAGTAACATTAATCTATTTAATATTATAATTTTATGATGTTGCTTTATTCCACACATATTACAGTTGAGTGTGGTAGTGTATTAACAACACTGAGTGAGTACTGACAGAGTGACTAGGTAATAACATTTTATTATGTAATTTTATCGATAAACTTACAATTTAATCGCTATCAATCTATACGGATAAATGCTATACAATAACGGAAAGTCGTCGTGAAATATCAAATATCCACATAAATATGTAACTCTCTATAAAAATACTTCTCTTTTCAACATACATTAGCGATCCTTTTGCTTTCTGTTTATATCCGAACTCGAAACGTTCCACGAGAAAATTAAATGTTTACAACTACGTATTATCTATAAACATTATCAATGAAATATTGTAAATTTATTTTAAAACATACGAAATGAAAGTATTTCATTAATGCAAACGAACCAAACTGTAGCATATTATTACGTCATGCATTTTACTACATTCTACGGCGAATCCAAATTTTTAGGCTCCTCGTAATTATGATAGTATACGTCTATGACAGTCTATGTCTACTTTGGCGGGTATCTGATCCTTTAGTTGACAGGATATACATATATATTTATACTTGAATATATAAATGTATCGGTGACAGTCATGAATCATTTGTAGTATAATTAATAACTGTCAATTCACCTTAAACATAATGAGTATTTAAACTTGTGTCAACTAAAGTTATGTTTTTGGTAAATACCAGGTACTCATCATTCAAAAAAAAGTAAAAAATGTTTTAAAGGATCTATTAATTTCATTATTTTAGTTGTTATGAAGTTAATTGTTAAACAAAATTGAGTACGTATTCCAGTTCAAACTTGCTTAGAATACTGGTACATATTATCTAAAAGTTAGACAATTGCTATTTATATTACTATAAAAATAAAAAGTGTTGTGTTCGATTGTACCTTAATTTATATTGTAAATAAATGGAATATATTATCGCGTTTAATACGATTGTAATTGAATTAGTTATTTAGAATTCTATACCTTTATTAGGCAAATAAAATGAACGAATTTGTGATAACAATTATTGAATCTGTTTATTAAGTGAAATTACACGCTTCCATGTAATATTTTGTTTGTAATATTACTATATTAATAACATGAAAATCAAATAAATTATTCAAGCTTTCGAATAGACGTTGCCATTTATAGGTCACACCACACAATCAATATGTGGGACGTTGTGTAGATATAAACCTACTTAAAAACATTTTTACTGTAGGTTTTAAAAAGGTCTGTGAACTTGGTCGCTTATGTTACATTATTTAAATATATATTATTTATTTCATGTTTCGTAAACACTAATGATTAATCTTTATCTCGCAATGTACTAATTTATAATCTGTGAGTATGTGTCCAACAAGATTGTAGCATGATCCAGAAAGTGAAGTTGCGTTGATACCGCCACACCCCGCGGCGCCACGGCGCGCTTTTCCTTGCACAGTAGACGCGACACGCAACACGCGACACATGGCCCATGCATGGCCCATGCGTGGCCCGTGCGCGGCCCGTGCGTGGCCTGTGCGCGGCCCTTGCGCGGCCCTTGGGCCGAGGCGGGCGGCTGAAGCAGCGGCAGTGCCCGAGCAACAGTTTGGTCCTCTCGAGACGCTACCCGCTAAGCTACTTGCTACGCATGCACGCTACTCGTGCGCCTATCACTGTCTCTCTACGCTCGTTACTTTATTGCTCTCTTTGTACCACAGCTCGACGGTTTCATTAAGTCTCTACGTATCACCGTAACTACTATCTATAGTCGTCTCACACCATACGTGTGACACTAACTTACCTATACGTTACTATGTAAACATTACGCTACGCTGTAACATTGCAGGCTCTTGCCATAAATTGACACGATTGCTTATGTCGATGCCGGACTAATAATTGAAAAAATACAATTTATTACATATTAAAATTTACTTTTTTAAAATTATGGAAAGAGCCATAACGATATTAGGTACATTATTATTGCTTATTATTCTTTCGACGCCGTCGAAACTACGAGCTTCTACGCTATAAAATATTTCTTGTAAAGGTGTAAAGAAGTTTATAGAGAAATCATTCGTTGCAATCATTCGTCAACGGGAGTGGGGTCACTCACTCGTCGTCGGAGCGCACGCACGCAGACTCCTGGTGCTTGTTTAAGTAACTTTTGAGCGCAAACGTCTTATGGCAACGAGTGCACTCGTACTTCTTATCGGAGGAATGCGTCTGCAGATGGGCGCGCAAGTTGGAACGGTCCGCAAATGCCTTGCCACAAGCGGCGCAACTGTATGGCTTCTCGCCGGTGTGGGAGCGCAGATGGCCGCGAAGAAGCCACGGCCGGGAGAACTGTTTGCCACACACTCCGCAAACGTGACCCATGCGATGTGTCAGCACGTGCATGGCAAGTGCGGGCATGGACACGTATGCCTTACCACATTCCCCGCAACGCTTTGCCGCAACCGAGTCGAGGCTGCGGTGTGTTTGCTTGTGACGCGACAGATTTGACGATGTCGCATACCGTTTACCGCACTCGTTGCAATCATACTTAGCTGGTTTCTCCTTTAGTAGTGGGGTCGACTCCGGTTCCGTCTCCTCGGGTAAAGGTTCAGGATCAAGGTTTATATCTTTATATTCCGGCTGGAGATCAGGAGAAGGGGATTGGTAGGCAACGTAATTGACTTGCGGCTCTACGGTGTACTCGACCGTTTGTACCGGTGTAACAGTTTGCACGGTTTGATAGATAGGTTCTGGAGGTTCCTCGGCTAGTATGTAGATATTGGTAGGTTGTATAGTGTAAGTGTAGACTGGTAGGAGGGGTGGCGGTTCAGGGGCGTGGAGGACGGTGACGACGGTGGTGGGGGGCAGCGGTGGCAAGCCCTGGGCTAGAGACAGCAAGTCGTGCGCCGCCTCAGTGTCGGCCGCGGACCGCTCCGACACTGGCATACACCCCAACTCCGCATACTCGGCGCTGCGTGGTTCTGGGAACAAATATAATACATTTAACACTACTTTTAAGAGATTTTAGAAAGGAAGAACCCTTCATTTGGTTTGTAGGGTATTTTTCGTGCATATGTTACGAGCGAACCTAATAGTTTATTTTTACAATTATTGATTGTAAAAAGAAACTAAGATACGATACGATAATAATTATAACTTTGGACGGTTTCTTTTAGCAGAAAAGTAAAGCAGGCTTAACGACGTAAAACCTACATCAATCACGCTACTTTGTTGCAATGCATTGAAAAAACCATTTTACAAAATTAAAGTTTCAAACATAAACTTATAAAAATAAAGGGAGACGCACACATTGCACCAAATATGTACTTGTATATCACAAAACTTGTACTGTAACCGAGTAGTTTGATTCTTATACTCATGTAAATAAGATTTTCTGAGGGAAAGGGATTATTATTAAGGCAGATTACCAGCCCTATTGCTAATAATATATCCTGTCAGGTCGTCGTCCACGTCTTCACCCCGGGAAACCATCTTGGTGAATTCCTGATGTATTCATCACGATGGACTAACTGATCTGCCCTTTCATTTCATCTATCATCCCTTACTGGTGCCCCGCCAGCGTATACCATTAACACAGGCACCCCGCCTGTAATACTATACCATTGTAATCCAATAAAAAACACACATTTTTGTCACAACTTTATTAGTTTATTTTTAGTTACAGAGTAGTATAAAATATACTATAAATAAATAGTAGTATAAAATAAAATATATATATATAATACTTGTATTTTATACTACTCTGTAATATCATATAATCATGGACGAACGCATATACAGCGTATACAGCGAGATAAAGATAATTATTACGAGTAGGTATTAGTATACCCAAAAATAATAAATATTATAACAGAATAGTCGGCACATTTCGTATGTCCAAAAAACAAACGCTTCCAATGTATTCGATTTCAAGAGAGATGTTAAAGTCAGTTAAAAATATATAAAGCACAAAGCAAATTAAATTGCATCGGTGCCCACGTTAAATAATAAAAATACGTTTTGTTGCATTCAGCACTGTAGTAATGAAAACTACGTTGTTCAAACGAATTCCTAATTGTGATGTACAAGTTTTGTTTATACATGCAAAACACGAGTGCAGTGAAAGTGGCCATAACAACTTATGTCAACATTCAACAATTTATTTACAGCAATAAAACATGTTCTTTGCAGCAAAAGTTTTAGTGACGGTGTTTCATGTGACACGGCTAGATAATTATACTTATTTTTGTAACAATTATTATAATTAGATTTATCATTATTATTACAATCTATTCATCACCCAATGATGAATATAGATATCTATTATACTTAGATACAACAAAGTTAAAATAAACTTTATTTAATTCAACAGAATATGGCAAAAGCTCTTTAGAATCGACTTGATTTTCTAGTATTCTATAGTATTTCAGGAAGCCATTTATTGAGAAGATGCTGCAAGAAAATTAACAGTTAATAATCCTTTACGTATTAGATTGGGATCCAATACTTACCTGTCTATTGACTTCATGCAAATTTCTTAGGGCATCACAGCAACTAATCGTTCGAGCAAGTGAAAACCGTCTTATTTCAGCTTTCATATCTATTGCAAGATTATCTGATTATATTAAAACAAGATTCAATAATTAATCATTATTTCCATTGCATACTACATACACTACTCCTTCCTTTGTTTAACGTTATAGTTAAAGAAATAATGATGAATGATTAAGTGTTTGTTCAAAGAAATACTGGTTTCAGGTTGTCGCTTTATTAACGCCTTATTCATAATACCCAACACCTCCTACAAAACTATTTTAACTATTACATATTATTCAAACTGAGAATATGACAAAAGAAAGTTCAATAGCTAAAGTAGGTTTATGACAGGTTTAATGTTTTTATGAAAAAAGGGTTAAGTTTGTATATTTTTTTAATAAAAAGAAATCGCGCTGTTGTACAGTGTTGTAAGTAAAACGACTCAAGTTTTCTCCATAAACAGCGCTTATTTTAAATCTATTCTCAGTAATCTATAAAGAACAACATCGTTATGAATTATGACGCTGCTTAACCTTTTCTTTCAAATGTAAGTATGAGAATATTACATTTATCTTGTTTATCAACTTAATATAACAATATACATTAACACTCAATGAATTATATCTGACCAGATACCTTAGGGTGAGCGTAATTAGTTACGCACACAACAACATTTCACCTAAATGAATTTGTACATTGAGATTGCTGGTGCATAAGTAAACCCATAGCATCAAAAGGCGTCAGTATTGTCTATCCTCCGAAGATTCTATTCAATAAACAAAAGGGAAAACAACATCGCACTATCCGCCCGCAAACTTTAATATTGAATTGGACGCTCAAGTCTTGACAAAATCATAAGAATAAGAACTAGGTGGAAGTGACACTCCTGCCGATTTAATAATAATACTGCCTTCGTGGCTAAAAATATTATTTCAAATATAAAATAGAATAACAAATTTTAATGCTCATATATTAATTATATTAAACACTTATATTTAACAATAAGGATATGTTACTTATTATAATTATACTATCACAAAATCAATTATTTTTTTTAATTGTTCGTTTATTTACTTAGCAACCGTAAAAAAATTGGCGTGATTTCAAAAAATTAAATTTTATGTTTTTCAAAGTAACAACAGTAATTTAATTACTAAATATTTGACCTATTTTATTATAAAGTAGATTGTATGTGCTGTGTTTGTTTAAGCATTCATAACTGTTTTAAGACATTAATGGTATAAAGTCCATTGGAATTCTTATTAATGTATGGGTATCGACTTCACCCCTCACCACCTTTATTACGTCTCGCTAAATATTGTATGTACTGTATATTACTGATATTTGTATCGTATTTATAAGATGTTAAATTGTATCTACGTCATTGAACCTACTGGTAGGGGTACCTTTACGTTTGTCTGTATAAGATCACCACTTATGAATCTTTTCCCGCTTTTTCTGTTTAACAGATTGCTTTTTTATTATTAACTAGCTTCTTGCACGGTACTTCGTATGCATAGATTTTAGAAGTAGGAATACTTCTACTTCTAAATGGCATATAATATAATACCATATTTTAAGTTACATTTTCAGAAACTTTAACTCTGAAAACTGTATTCAGTTCATTAGTTTTTGCGTGTTGCCAGAACAAATAAATATACAGATGTCTTTATACCAATTTTCCCCAAATACCTCCCATGTGCATTGTCTAATTACAATTTTATTATATTAATAAGTTGTATAACAAATTAATGTATTAAGTATGAACTTGTGACATCCCTATTTGAGTGTTGGAAAGTGGAGTTCATTTTGTCGGCATCGGTGCACTCATAAAAGAAAGTGCATGAGTGCCACTTCTGCCTACATTATTTATTCTTATGACAACACCTTGTACCATGTAAAGTGCAATTTTGATCGCTTCTCGGTTTATATTGCTTTAGTTCTGTGACTTATATTAAGAACTACAGTTCTCAATCTTAGTTCTTAGCAATCTAGGTCATGTCTATTTGGTCAGGTGTATTAATCTATTTTATACCAGGAATATCGCTTTGTACATACATATACCGAACCGAAGAATACCTCGGTAGAATAGTATAATAATTCTAATCTATAACATATTTTTTATTTTCAGCTAGAAATGTCAAAATATAAAAAAATGCTTGTTCGGATAAATTAAAATAATATACATACAAAATTCCAAATATATATATATATATATATATATATATATCCAAAAAATACATAGATAATAGAGTTGCGAAAATGAGAAATTAGGAATTACAATGGAGAAAATATTGTAAAGTATAAATCTCTAAATTCTTACTAATATTATGAACTATTATGAAATTGACATATACGTAGAATGGAGAATAAACGTTTAAAATGGAGAAGGAGATAAGCTTCTTTATTCCCGTCCACAAAAACTAAATCGTGTGCACAGCTGGTATACGAGGTAGCATGAACGAAGTCATTGAAAACATTTGTACACGAAGCTTAATTCTTAAACAATGCGAGTGTTTTGAACAAAACGTAATGCAATAAATCATTCGTTCAGTTCAATCCATTCATTCAAACATGTCGCACCTGTCGGCCGTTGTCGGTATTATTGGAAAGTCAAACTCAACGTATCGAGTTATTAAATTGAATCGACAGACGGACGAATATCAACTACTTGCTGACTTACCCGCGTAAAGACTCCCTAATGGAAAGCATTTAGATATTCAAAATAGGGTATTTAATCATTCACTCAATAAGAGCGACTTACCAATGAATGGGCTGATCATTTTGTCTGTTTTCTAACCGACTTCAAAGAAGAAGGAGGTTCTCATTTCTGTGGTATTTTTTTTTACGTTTATTATCTCCATCATCTACAATATAAACTGATTTGGATGTTTTTTTTTTATTCAAAAGAACTTTCAGAATCAGTAGTATAGTTCAGTAGTTTGTTTCTAACATCAAATAACAAATTCGGGGTTGTGATTATGCTTAAATAGGTTTTGCTAAAATTAAGGTAGATGTATATTTTTATGGAGCAAAAAGTGTTTTTGCACTACTACTAAAATTAATTACTAAAACAATGAAATTTATTCCTATTGGAAACTTACGTGATTAAACAGATCTAATGTACATAAGGAAAAGTCAATAATGTCCGGAACTGTCCTATGTAGGACAGTTCCGGATTTATGCATGAATTATTATAGTGGTACCGAGCAAAAGATAAGTGCCTACTCGGGAAACTGGAAACGTTTATTATATCTTATATTATCTAAAGATATATATTACTTGAATCAGAAGACTGAAGTCAAGTCTATCTCTAATTAAATACACTTATTACGAAAATTACAATTACAACACCTTTATAGTATTAAGCGATAGCTATATATATATATATATATATATATATATATATATATATATATATATATATATATATATATATATATATATATATATATACACATACATATACACACTAACAAAAATTTATTACAATTATTCCAAATTATAATTAATTTTTGTTATGTTGAGTTGGACATTATAGACCAGCATTTTGGTCGTTTGAGAGGAAGAGATTGTTAGTAATGGGGATCTAACAGTCCCTTTGTTAGCAATGTACCCTATCAGGTCGACATCCACACGGTTCTTCCTAGTAACCATCTTGGTTATTTCTTGTGGAATTCATCATGATAGGCTAATTGACTTGCTTGCATCCTCATCTAACATCCCTCAGTGGTGTCCAGTCAACGTATACCGATAGCGCAAACTGGGTCAACATTGCATTATCACCCATTACAACACCCTACCACTATATGTCAAACCGACATTGTTTCACGGCAAGTACCTTCAGGCAAAGAAAACTGAATGCCAAAGACCTCTCTATCTGTATATACATCTTTTACTTCTAGCGCGCATGCTTGCATGAGTTATAAAAGTCTCATGTATGCACAGTTCCGGAGACTGTTGACTCCTTCTCCAAATAACCCAATAGTTAAATAGTTTTCTGCTGAAACCCTTATAAATACTAATAGCAAATAAATAAACCCATCGAAAACGAGAACGCACAAATATTAAATATCATAATAAAACCTTAACTCGAAGAATTCCCAGAACTTCAAAATACGCAATACCGTTTAAAGACCGATAAATTCGACGCCCCAAACTCAATAATACCTGCACAAATGGACTAACAAAGTCGAGTGCCCCTTATTGTTCAACTTTTACGAATGGCAATCGAGTCCCAATTTTTATAATAACGCCGTCGAGTGATTGTTTCAATTCTGCTTCCATAAAAATAGGTAAAATTGAAACGAATAAAAAGAGTTTCGTGGGACTTTTCTATTATATATTTCAAGGCTACGAAGGTTTTACAAACTTCGCTCGCGTGGATTAGTTCGATCCTTTTCGAATTAACCTGTAGTTTGGTTTAGTCCGGTTGACCGAGCTAGTAAAACTTTTCAGTAACAATACTTACGTTAGTATAAAATAAAAAGAAAGGTTAGGTGACTTGTGTTTTATTATTAAAAAGGACTTTAAAATACGTAAACAAATTATATAGTATATTAATAAAAAACGACCTCGACGACGAAAAGGTAAACATATTGCTATGCATGATGAGGTTTTGAATTCGATTATCGGTCACTTCAATTTCGTTCGACTCGGGTCTAAGTGTTCTAAGTTGTACCTCCAGATGTTGTATTGAAAGGTTAAATTCATGTTAAATAAAATCCTAACTTTACTTACGTTTGTTATATTAAATACTTTATTAATATAAAAATTATTATGCAAATTTTACAAGGTAAACAAAAAACCTATAGCTAATAGATTACTTCATGTGTCATCTGTCATATATCTGGGATATGTTTACTATCAAGGATAAAAAAGTAACCTACTCCATTTCATATAGTACGTGTGTGCCAAATTTCATAGTGATTGGTTAAATCATTAACGCGCTATAAGGTAACAATCAAGCAAACTCACTATCAAATATATACTATTAGTAAGGATAAAGAGAAAACAAAAACTGCAAAATAATAATTTATAATTATCACATTTTACTTATATAGATATCATATGAACGAGTATCGTTATATATTCATGATACGAGTATGCAAAAGTTTTCTTTCCAACTGCGGCGCTGTAAACTTAACAAATTCACCAAAGAAATTCGTTTTGAGTATTACCGATTCCGCCAATTTGTATTGATGTTTATTTCTATGTATTGGCTAAACAAATAAAAACTTTAAGCTACGGACTTAAAGGTTAATTTCCTGTATATTTATACCTATAAGTATAAGATTTGAAGCTTTGCATCTAACATGTATTTAAACTATAGTAACACGGGGGGGAGGAAGGGATTGTTAGTAATGGAGACTGTGATTCCATTGCTAGCAATATACCCAACCAGGTCGATTTCCTCGCGGTTCCCCCCGGAAACTATCATGGTTAATTCCTGATACATTCATCATGATGGGCTAATTGGCCTGTTTCATTCTCATCGATCACCTTCACTGGTGCCCCGCCAGCGTATCCCATTACCGCAGGCGGGGTTACCATTCCATTATCACCCATCAAAAAAAAACTATCGTAACACATGGATACTCATAAAATATGTCTACTAATTTAAAGTTTAAAACTTAATATACACATGTATATAGTAAGGAAACATAAAAACAGTAAGGAAGAACAATTACGTCAATAAATCAGACCTAATATTGTAAGTGTCCAGATAATATCTAAATACCCATCTAGAATAATCTTCAAAAAGTACTGTATAAAAGTGAATCTATCAGATTCAGACTACTGAAGATTATATAATTTACTTGAACGTAACTACACGAGCTAAAATAAATATTAAATATTAAAAAATGTTAATATTTACTATTCTTAAAAAATTAAATCCTGAAATTGAAATTGATTTCCTTCGACACTTTAATCGAAGTTACGGTTTCTAAATTCTAACCTCCTAAATTTTAATACTCTTAAGTCCTATTAGGAAATTTATTTCCGCTCTATTACACCCCTACCTACACGTTTCACATTTTAAAATTCTAATCAAAGTTGGTGATTTTATTCTTATTAAGGTCATGCACCTCGTTCTTAATTTAAATTCACCTAACGATTAATAGCACGTGCTAAATAATCTGAATCTGTACAAAATTCACCGAATGAATGGATACATAGAAGCAAGGTCGCACAAAAGTATAAAAAATTTTATATAAAAAATTACCATAGTTTTAGAATCTACTGATGAACTTAGTGACTTAATTATATAAGGAATGAGTTACATGGTGAGGTATTTAATAAGGGACAATTCTGTGATTGAGGTCCCAATAGATTCGTTACCAACTAATTAGGTATATAATATACAAAGTCTTCCTTTGTACAACAGTCGTCTGCTTGGACATTTTATTTATAACATAGAGGCCAAACGAGTATGCGGCTTACTTGATGGTAAGTGACTACCACCGCATATGATCACCTACAACACCAGAGGCATTACAGGTGTGCTGTCGTCTTTTAAAAAGAAATATGATTTATTCTTGAAGGTTACGATATCGTATCCTTTCGGGAATACTGCTGCTGGAAGTTGATTTCAAACCGTAATTGTGCGTGGAAGAAAGTGTCTTGAGAAACGCATGGTTAAGGACCACTATTTATCCAGATGGTTGAGATAGAAATTTATTTTGTGGCGGGTTGTACGGTGGTGAAAATCAGCAGCAGGTATCAATCCAAACAATTCCTCAGAATACTTCCCATAATATATTCGATGAAAAACGCATAGAGATGAATCTATTGTTTTAATTTGATAGTTTCGTTATATTACTCTACTCGTATTATGGACTATCATAAACCAATTTTATAATAATTTTGACTAAAACCTATAAGAAATATAGTTTGTATTAGCCCTTAATATAAAGATTTTGCTGTTATATCAAATTACGATTTTAATTTTACAGATAGATTTAAAGAATAGTCGCTCAGAATCGGCCAAACTGCAGTACATTTTGTGATATTCATGGTATTGTTCAGTATAAAGACGACGGTTATGTAGGTCGTTGTTACCATATATTGTTGTATAAAAAAAAAAAGTGAAATTGGCACGTACCTGTTAGTGCCGAGTATTCTGTAGGACTGTAGCAGGGGGGCGCGACGCTTGCCTCCGTGGGACTGCAGGGCGGCGGGCCTTCGTGCCGCTGGGTGCCTTTCTTGACCATGTAGCAGCGCGGCATCGCGGCCCACGCTGAAACAAATACCGTTTTAATTGACTTCAAAAAAGGAGATTCCCTTTGAGGTTTTTCCCTTACACTGTAATATGAGTCTTTTAAAAATGTGTACTCAAAAATAGTAACTACACATTTTTAAAAGATAGACGCATTTATTGCACTACTGCTATTGCAAGTATTTATGCCGAAATAAACCACTTTCAATCAGGTGGACAGTTAGTTCGTTTGTCTCCGTAATTATAAAAAAAAAGTTCTCTCTCCGATTGCTCTTAGTAGTCTGCTAATGACAAAACGATGTTCTTCAGGATGCTGACCGCAATAGTTTCTAGAGGCCACCTCTGTGAAGTGACCCACCACAGTATATTGCAACTAGATCGCTAGTCCCCTTTACAAAGAATCCTTTCCCAAGTCCTTCTATTTGTTACGGTCCTATATAAACAAATGACTTTTTGATTAAATTTGCTTGTACACACAATTATAATTAGATGCCGGCTTTATTTTCATAAACCTAATTATATTGTGTCCCGAAACAACATATAACTGTTTATACTTGAAAATGAAAAGATCGCCGTGTTTATATAATATAAAGAACCTTACGCACAAACCATTATAATCACTGTAGCAGTATGAAATAAAATAACAAAGAGTTACTTTAAATCTGCCTACCCCGCAAAGGGCTTGGCATGAAAATTTATACTGCTTTTAATGGAAGCGCGGAATTGAGGTATTAAAATTAAAGGAATTGAATTTATTTGCAAAAATAAATAACTTTCACATTTAACAATGAAGCCGTATTGATTAAAAAAAATATATAGCCAATGTTACTTGAGATGATATAAGAATCATAACTATACACCATATATCTAATTTTTTATAAGTATTTAGAAGTTGTGGTGTAACAAAGAAACACATACATACGTGAACCCTTAAAACATTACGCTCTCTTTTTGAGAAGCTGCGTAAAAATCACTTCGCATCATGTGATCGTTTATCACAGATACGCACAAGGAAATCGAAGGGACAACCGTAAAACGGAACGCAATTGCCGCGTGTGTCCCAACTGGGCGGTATGTTAGATAGTTCTATTTGACCTAGTTAATTGAACGGCGTTGCATCAGATTTAGCTATGATTGTTGATAGTAATTATAAATTCAATCGAAATGTGTGTCATACTGAAAATAAATATCTCCCAGTGGAACATAATAAATAAATATTCTCATAACTGTTAACCCTAATGCGGTAGCAAAACAAAGCAGTGGAATGAAATAATGGTGCGAAATAAAAGAATAAATAGAAAATTAATAAAAAAAAATACCATTCTCTTTAAAAAGAAAATGTTATTGGCTAAAATGTCAATCGAGAGAAATTAATTTATTTCGAAAAATGAATAATCGAAAATCCTGTCACGTATTTTTCTACCATGAATGGGAAGACGCAGGAAGCGAGATAGTATCGCTCCGACCAACCACGACATAAGATTGTAAACAAGGCCGTTCGTCCCTACAGAGCAATAACCGGGTATAACTGAAATAATGTCAACAGAAGCGTAACACGGATCTCAAATGATTTGTTAGCTACTGTCTTGTACATAAAAGTCCTGTTATTGGTAAATATACATTACTAGCTGTTTTCTGCGGCACTGCCCGCGTGAAACAGCATAATATGAAACTTGATACACGGTTAGATTATATAACCTAAATATATATATACATTAGATTACCTACGTTGCAAGCATGCCGAAAATGAGACTTTTCTATAAAAGAATGCGCCATTTTCTGTTTTTAATTTTGATTCTGTTGAAACATTTTGTTTCATGCGGTGTATTCGCCGTGTGATCCCGGGATAGAATATGCCAACACTTCCATCCCTGCGGCAATTAAAGGAACAAAAGGGTATAGGCAGTAACGTTCCTCTTAAAAGTCATTAAAAACCTAAAAGCGTGACACGCTTGGCAGGCGGATTGGCAACTATTGGCAAAATTCCCCTTATGGGGAGTTTTATGTTCAGCAGTGGATAGTTGACGGCTAATATAATGAGACATTTTGTAGGAAAACAATTCACAGTATCGCTAGAAATAAAAAAGTTGAGAAGAGATCGTTTATCTTGATGTACAGGGATGAAAAGAATCTGATAAAATCTGATAAAAATATTATGACAATGAAGATAATCGTAAGTATAGAGAGAGACGTAAAAAGAGATGTATGATTGACTGTAAATCTTCCTTTCTGATAAAATGTAAGGAAAAAAATAACTTATTACTTATATCAACTTCAGATATTAAATAAGGATAAGAAGATAAAGCATTCTGTCCTCACTCTTGTTACATTTGACATCAAAATTTCAGTAAATTGTACACACTATTCCTATGTAAATTCTAAGTCATATCACAGCAAAAGACATGCAGATTATTTAGAGTAAGCATGCAGACATTTTAGTATTGCCAGCATTATATGAAGCGGACATTTTGGAATGTTTACATTGCGGAATGGTAAACACGAAGGGGACATTTTTAGAAACACACATAAAATCTGGAAAGGGACGCTTTTTCAACATACGAAACTGACACATAAACAGACAAAAGTCCCATAAAAATGTTAAATATGAAAACCTGACTTTTCACATTTGTATTATTTGTATAATTCACATACAGAGTAATTAAACAAACTTTTATTAGTAGGGAGATTTCACGCGAAATGTCAACCCTAATCATACATGGGTACTACACTCATTACTAAGTTGGCTTAGCGTAAACAAAATGTTTAAATTATACAAATAATAATTATTTTGATTTGCGCAATAAAATTACGAGAATGATCTGTTTATTACAATTAAATTATTCCGTGGAATGTGGCCTAATTTAACACTGCTAATGAGGTTAAAAAAAAAACACAAAGAATTAGGCTAAGAATATTAAATACTTTATGTAGTTTATCCTGTATAACATAGATTATTTATTCTAACATTGCATGTAGTCGAATAGGGACTATTTTTTTACATGTATAGCACAAAAAAATTACTTGGTTTATATCACGAAAATGACTTGAAAATAAGGAGACAGTTTATAATATAACATTCAAGTAATAAATATAAATTAAACCCATTTTTAAATACTAATAAATGATACAACAATACCTGGTGACAATGCGGATAACCGCACTGAAATTCAGGTTATATATATTATGTTCACAGGTATCCAACAGGTGGTTTGTCAATCTATTTCTTGCTAACTTGGTTTAAGCAATAAAATATTCTCATCTACCAATATTGTAATACTATAGTATCTAACAATTTTGATAACAATTTCAAAATGTTTGAAAGGAAATTTCGCAATATTTGTATTATGTGTCAATTTTCTGAGATAACAATTTTGATAATTACAGAATATTATTTCAAACGTGCTATTACAAACAATAGTCACAGATTTAATAATACATAAATCCACTAGGTACATGTACATTACATTTTCTATAATCTGGTAACCGTTTCTTCATTTTCTTCATATATATATATATATATATATATATATATATATATATATATATATATATATATATATATATATATATATATATATATAATAATAATACATATATATAAAGAAATAAAATGTAATAAAAATGAGAAGCAAAAGAGAGAAACATTATAGAAGACTAAAATAACTAAGAGTTAAAATTCACGAAAGAGATTTACGCAACTCAAACACAGTCACACTGTCTATACATACATGTCCCCGATTACGGCACGACTGAAGCAAGGGACATTTTCTTCGATAGATCGTGCTGTTTCTTCGGCTTCCTTAACTTACTTTAACAATAAAAATCAGGTGCGTAGACCCTATTTATTTCCAATTGTCTCACGTTAAATCCCGATCGTGAATTTCAGTATGTGTAAACAACGCGAACGTTTATAATTGACTAAATTAATTTTATCTTCAGATTTCAATTTCGACACGTTTACTTTTTCCATCGTCTTTCTTTAATTATACTAATCTTACTAATATAAAAAAAAATTAACTAGACGACATTTGTACATGTGATATTTTATTGATAAATTAATATAAGTGATCTTAATAAGACCAATAGATGCCAAAAAATATTTTTTAAAATTTCAGTCTGTATTTTATTCTGACATCACGCAAAAATACTGTACCAAATTGGATACCATTTTGATAGTCGTATTCCTGAAAGTCTAACTTGAAATATGTTACATATTTTACCATTATACACCATCTAGAAGTGATCTTATAATAATTATGATTGTTAGCAGACTCCATCATTAACATTCGTAAGAGGTGCTACGATGAAGTTCATACATATTAAAGCTTGTACAAAAAGAAAAAGTCTAGAACAGCTGTAAAGAGGATTTCTCTGGTCCCGCGGGTTCCGCCGGCAAATACGTCGAGCGAACGACACTTTAATATCAAGTAAGAGCGTTTGCAGATGTCACGCCTTTGTCTACGCGCTCACGCGATTGTGGGGAACCCTTCGTGAAATTGTTCACCGAGAGTTATCTTAGTGATATATTTATACTGCCAAATATATAGGACTACGTGTACATTCTGAGTCATGAATATAGGGTAGGAACATTGATCTTGCTAGGTTTTTCCTTGTAACATGTCAAGCAAAATAATTAATCTATATAGGTTCCTATGTTTCGTGTTATACTCAACGAAATGTTTACTATTACGTTCATTGGTAAATAGACACTTATAGATAGATAAATTGTTTGTTTATCATAAATAAAATATAAATACGTGGGAGGTTTTATGTGTCGCTACGGTGAAAGGGTAACGAAATCAGCATTAAGATACAAGGCACTCGTAGCGCTGATATTCTGCTGGTGCCTTGTATGAAAAATAAAATGCTAACCTCGAAGTCTTATCAATTTCACTGTTCTAATATTATTTACAGTATTTATATAAGATATCTATTATAATATTTCTAATAGTGCGTAAAATTAAGAGCGTATGGAGTGTAGACATGTAACTTACAGTATAATGGTGTTTCAAACCAAGTAT